CTCTCTCTCTCTCTCTCTCTCTCTCTCTTTCTTTCTCTCTCTGTATCTCTCTCTCTGTCTCTGCATGTCTCTCTCTGTATATCTCGGTATCTCTCTCTCTGTCTCTGTATGTCCCTCTCTCTCTCTGTATCTCTCTGTATCTCTCTGTATCTCTCTCTGTATCTCTCTCTGTCTCTGTATGTCCCTCTCTCTCTGTCATTCACTCTCTCTCACTCTCTCCCACTCTCTCTATCTACCTCTATCTCAGCACGTGTAGGCACGCGTGTGAGTGTATGTATATTGTGCGTGTGTGTGCGCGCGCGCGCGCGCGTGTGTGTGTGTGTGTGTGTGTGTGTGTGTGTGTGTGTGTGTGTGTGTGTGTGTGTGTGTGTGTCCGCTCGTGCTGAAGCCTTGGAAAAACTAAACAGAAGACGCACACCTTTGAACAAAGATTCACCCCGAAAGCCATAAAATATCGGCGTTCTACTTAATTGAAACATTTATTACTTTCACGTCTTTCATCTTTCACTATATTATTATCTTTTAGTCGGAACATTGTACGAACAATATCTTCTGATTTAGCTAACGGTTAGGAGGAGGCTTTTCTAACCAAGTAATGGCATAGCAGGGGCGGTTGATGAAAACCAAATACATACAGTACAAATAACAAGCAGATGAAAATTGCTACCTTGGAATTACAAAGTTCTATCTGGCATGTTTGGCTGTTTTGAGGTTTAAAAAATATATATATGTTCTCTCTTTTCAATCAAAATGATAAGTTTATTCGGAGTCGCTATCAAGTTATTCAAATAATTGCACTCGAAAAAGCTTGGCATGTTGTGAAACTCAAATTTTCCTGCGTCAAATTTCTCAAAACTAGGTACTAAGCAGATGGAACTTTGTAATTCTGGTGTAGCCAAATGTCACAACGACACAGACAGGTGTGGCCATTCTCCTTCATGTTTCCCTATTCCAATATCAGACACATTTTTTATATATTTTTGAATCCGTCAAAGGGATTGTTAAATTATATTGTAAGACAAAGTAAAACTATAGATGTCAAAAGGCTCCCATGCTTTAATATAAGCGCACTACAGGAAAAACAATGACAGAGGAAGTGCCCACGTCATACTGTTTGCACCTCAAATAAATAATAATAAAATATGTGAATATGACGTTGACACTGTCCTGTTGGGACAACTCGACTTGAAAGTTTCTGACCTGGGCAGAGGTAAATTGCGCATGTTTTAAATCCTATTGTCAAAAAGTTCAACGGAGTTTTCCAAAACCTGTTGGAAAATTGCGCATGGATTTCGGTATGGCGTATTTCTTAGGTATTTGACAAAGTATCGACTTAAAATTCTATAAGTATTTACTTTAGTTTAGTAGACGTCTTCTGTTAGCCATTTATCAAGACTGTTATTTCATTGATATTTTTCAGGATAAAACGGTGTTGATATCTGTTGACCCCTGCTCTGCACGGGGAGATGGAAGACGGATTTCGAGCAGGTCTTCAGGAGAGCACATTTCTTTAAAATCGCTGATTAAAATACTTGATAAACGTGGAGATGAAAACCACATTTACATTCTCACAGGAAGCATTCTTTCGGCCATTTTGTCGAGGAACTCTGCTTGCGTTAGCTGTTGACTCTGATACTGTAATGAGCTATACATTATTGTAACACCCCACCCCCACCCCACCCCCGGACACCGCGGTCTACTACTCGAACTGTTTTCAGTGAACACACAATCATAGGCGGGGTTGCACTTCTGATTCAACCACAGCTACCTCAGAATCGTATCGATACCACACTCAAAAAACCTGCGCAATTTACCACCCATAGGAAGACGGCTCATCGAGTAATCCGTTGTATAACATGTGAAACCTACGCAATTTTCCGTCCCCCACTGACCTATATTAACAGTCACGGTCTCTGAAACTTGTAAAAGTGTAGAAACTCGGCCCACATAGGAAATACTTTTCTTTTAATACGTCTTTTCTTCTTTACATACCATGAAACGGATGACTGGTTCTCTTGTGTATGGAATATTTGCCTCGGGCTCTTTTTCAGCTAACAGCCCCCACCCTAATCTTGCAAGACAGTTTACTGATGTGGGGTAAAATATATAAAAAAAAGAAAGAAAGAAAGAAAAACGTCCGACAATATAATTTGTTTAAGCCCCGATGATCCGAAATTTGACTTCAAATCTTTTAAGCTTCCTAATCAACAACAAAACTTATCATGGACCTCCCCCCTTGTGACAAGTTACAGTCAGAATACTGAGTATGTATCTAGCTTAAGATTATTATTGTTTATTTCACTGTTCATTTATTTTATGCATGTGACTGTAAGCCTGCGTGTGTGTTTATTGTGTGTGCATGTGTGTGTATGTGTGTGTGTATGTGCGTGCGTGTGTGCGTGTGTGTGTATGTGAGTATGTGGTGAAACACCAAACAAGGTGCCAGGATCTGGTCAATAAAGATGTATCTTATCTAACTGTATCGGTAGACTCGTGACTCTCTGTGGGGGCTGATTCGCGTTTCTAATTCAGGTCTGGAGAGGCACAGTCATGCTCTTCGAATGTTCATTGTGAGCTAGCTATTTCTTTAACATGTGCATCCCAGAACATTTTGAGGCGGTATCACTTCTAACTTACTCAAAGGAGAGTACCACCCGTGGTTACTCCATCAGATCATAGAGTAAATGAAAGTTCAAGATAGAGAGGCTAAAGTAAAAGTACATTGTAATTGAAAAGGTAGCAAAAGCAAGAAATGTCAGAAAAAGTAACTCACATGCCTAACTCACTTTAAAACCTTTCTTCTTCTTCTTCTTTTTCTTCTTCTTCTTTTTCTTCTTCTTCTTCTTCTTCTTCTTCTTCTTCTTCTTCTTCTTCTTCTTCTTCGGGTCTCTGAAATTGTTCACCTTTATCCGAGAAGGCTAGGTGTTAGACCCTTCTTGGCATAAGAACAGGGGTGTTGCTGAAAGACAGCAGTAAGAAAGAGCCAAGGAGATGCAGTAGAAAGGCTGCATAAGAGTCAGGAGCCCAGAGAAAGGGACAAAGGGGGAAGGGAGAGAGGGTGGGGAGCAGTAAGTGGAGACGAAAGCAGACGGTAGAACATGGTTAGAGAGCAGGAAAGGAGGTGTTAGGAGAAAATTATAGATAAGAAAATTTTAGAGAAGAAAATTGTCCGAGACCTATCGAATGAGAGGCGAACACCATATCTCCACTCTAGACTACGAGAGCGCCCTCATAGTTTTTAATTTATAACCTGCTCTACAGCTTTACACCGAGGCAACACACACACATACACACATGCACACACAAACACACAAACACACACACAAGATAGATAGATAGATAGATAGATAGATAGATAGATAGATAGATAGATAGATAGAGAACAACAATCGAACAGTTGTTTCAGTCAGTCAAATACTCACTCTGTGCACGCGCATAGACAATCGCGAAGGTCAGCACGACCAGGAGCCAATACGTGCTGTATTGCCCCGCCATTTTGCGGAAAGTCCTGGCACTGCCCAGTGGTCCTGGTCAGGCACTGCCCCAGGGGTCACTGGTCACTCTGCTGTCCACACAGAGAGGCCGGTGTCTTCGTTTCCCCCTGCCTCCGTGAATGTCCTGAGTCAAGATCCCCGTTTGGTTTTAAAACTGCAGCCACGAGTGGAGATCGATGGGGAACGATTCCCTTTTGTAATCACTGTTAAACCCGGACGATGTAAATTCTTGTTCCATGCATAGCTGACAGCAACTCAGCAGGGCGTCTTCGTTTTGTTTTTTTTGTTTTTTGGGGTTGTTGTTTTTTGGGGGTTTTTTACCCAATAAAAGTACAACTCATACACACACACGTCCTTTTGCTTTAGGAAGGTTGTTTTCGCTTTCTATGTTTCTTTGTTTGTTTTTGTTTGTTTTAAGTCCATAGCGAAGTAAAGCTCATCAAAAAATGCTGCCAGTATCGTATAAATCGAAACGTTATTTCGAAGTAATAAGAATGGTGATAATAAATCAAAACAGAACAAACGACACTGATAGGTCAAACGCACAAAGTCACAAAACCTGGAGGGAGAATAAATACCTCCAGTACCCTCAGGTGCGTACAATAACCCGGATATGATAATAACGTTTTTTAAATGTTACGATTTGTCTTTAAAAATCTTCAACTTCTATAGATTTTGTCGCGATATCTAATAAACCGTTTATTTCCCTTTCACGCAAACAGTTTAATTAATGAAAATCGACTAGAGCCGTGTTCGTACGGTAGAAGACCTTACAAACTTGTTATTATTATTATTATTTATTATTGTGTTTATTATTAAGTTTATTATGATTATTATTACTATTAAATCATTGGAACATTACTTTTCTTCAAAGTCAATCAATTCTTCCTTAAATATCCTTTGTCGTTTTTTTACTTCGAAATCCAAGCTATCGCATAAATAAATTGAAGAAACTACTTACTAACTGAAACACATCTGACGTTCCTAAGTGTTAAGAGAAAAGGGAAGACGTCACTACACACTGAGGAAAAAACTACCTGTTTAAGAGGATAACCTGTTGTCGAACCGACGGGGAATACCTCACTTTCAAACAACAAACAAGTGTCGCACGTTTGCTTTAGTCCCTCCTCACCCCTTCCGGGCGTGCACGAAAAGGTCGTCAAGTTTTCCTCTTTCCATGTAAGCTACAGGCAGCAGCAGCAGCCAGCAACTTTCGCTGTGTGTCGTGGCCGACTCGCGTGTAATTTCCTCATTAACTGTCGCAACCTGGCTGGAGCCTCGCTTCTACTGTGAGGGGTGGGGGGAGAGGGGCGACACAGGAGAAAGAGTCGTCGCCCCTGACACAGATACTGACAGAGTTGTCTGTCCTCGCGGCCAAATGGCGTGCGTCCGCGGCTCCGCCGAGGTCGTCAATTGCCACTGAGCAAGTGGCCCCCCCACTGAGTTGCTTACAATCAAGATCGCCGACAACAACAGGACAATCTGTGTGCGGGAGACAAAAGAAAATAACAATGATTAAGGCAAAAAGTAGTCAACTGAAAGAGAGAATGATACGTAAACGTTAATCAATGACTTTTGACAATACGAAGAGCACAAAGTGTAGAAATTTTCTATTGATGCAAAGGAAGTTTTATAGGTTAACCCAACCTCTTGTTTTCTTTACTTTTGTTATTTGAATTGTATTCACAAACTAGTTTTATTGAAATTTCATAGTGCCCTGTAAATACATAGAAACTGAACAAAACGTTTTGGTGTACAAGTTCAACCTCACACAGCGTAGGGCTCAGCACTCAACCCAACCTCATTACCGAAAGATAGACACGACTACCGAGCATCCGCATAGAAAACCAAAAAAACCCAGACAACTAAGAAAAAAGACCAATTGGTGCAGAAAAGCTTCCCCCACCCCAAAACAGACAAAAGCAATGCACTACCTAAATGACAACGAAGAAATCCTGGAAGCGCCGCCACCACCCCTCCCACCCAACTCAAAAAGAGTAAAAACAAAAATAAATATGATATAATGCGCCGTCACACATGCACCAACACATGAAATGCAACGGAAAACAAAACCATAGAAGGCATGAGTAAATCTTGAACTAATCAGACGGAACATCTCTAACAGCTCTTAACAAAGACAAATTCACATGTACTTGTCCAGCTGAAAAATGGCCGAACATAATGGGTGAACAAGTCTCCGCGGCGCTGGCAATTTCGGTAAACTCTATACCCTCTCCCTCTTCTCCTTCGATTTCGTCCTTCACGTTAGTTTGTTTTGTTGTAATCGTGCGTGATGACAACATGGTTGCTAACATGACACATCACAAAAGCATGTGCTGAAATACTTTTCGTGAACCATAGACTCGTATCACAATATCCAAGACTGCGTACTCTGGCGTAATTCCGATTCACCTTGCAGCTTACCATTTGGCTGCATTTGGAACCAAATGAAAGACAAGGAGGAAAAGATTGAGCCCACAGTCGACTATAACAAGACTGGTGTTTGGCCACCCGTTTGCACGCCTATGGGGTGCACCAGCACGCCTATGGGGTGCACCAGCACGCCTATGGGGTGCACCAGCACGCCTATGGGGTGCACCAACGCAGCAAAGTTTGTATAGAGAGCAAAAAGTGACAGACACGACAGTACCCGGTCTAGGATACTACAATAAAATATTTTCATTTTCACAAAAATTGCAACTCCGGCTGGGGTTCAGTAGCCATGCTTTTTTTGGAGGGGGGGAGGGGGAGAGGTTGTTTTATTTGGTCGCTTTTAAGCACAAGGAGGCTTTCACGA